CTATGTCTAACAAATAATTTTTTAAATTATATATATATTTTACATTCTTAGTATATCATTATTAATATATTTTACATTATTAAGATACTAAATTATTCTCTATTATTGCCAATATTCAAATACCCAATTATCTTGAATATTATTCGAATATTGGCAGAGTTCTATATTTAGAAAATAATATTAAATTAAATAATACAATGTATTTGATATATTTTCGTACACAAATAAGATAATAAATATACTCTTACATAAAATATTAAATATTATTTCAAATGATTTTTATAATAAATAAAAATGCAATGTTTTAGAAAAAATAAGACAATATTCTCTGCATTAATATTACATCTAGAGAAATGAATCATTGAATATTTTGCAGGAATAGGTAAAACTACAGTGTGCAAAAAAATCGTGTCCGCGCTGGAAAAAAAGGGCAGCAGGTTTGATGGATTTTACACAGAGGAAGTGCGAGATCAGAGTGGCTCCAGGATGGGCTTTGACATTGTGCGAGTAAAGGATCCTGGAAACAGATTATCCTTAGCAAAATTGTGCGTATTCATTCACAACAATGATAAAAATAACAAAAAAAAGTAACTGAACACATATTGTATTTAACATTTTTTACTAACAGAATCTCAACAGATGCTCCAAATAAAAGCTCTTTCAGGTATCAAGTGGGAAACTATCGTGTTTTTCGAGATAATTTCGAAACTATAGCGCTTCCAATATTGGATTTAGATACTGTAAGAGTAATGACTTGCCCGAAAATGAATTTTTAATTACTTCAACACTTTGATAACATCAATTGTATTGCTATTGCAGGATATATTGATTATCGATGAAATTGGCAAAATGGAATTATTTAGTGAAGACTTCAAGAAGAAAATAATGAACATATTTTTCGGTTCTCCTAAGAAAGCTTTTGTAATCGGGACTATTCCGCAAATACATAAAACACCGCAACGACACGCGGCACTGTTCGAAAAGTTACATGCAGATGAAGGAATTAAAATTTTGAAAGTGACCCATGGAAATCGGAATGATTTACCAGAGGAAATTATATGTTATTTCTCATAAATTTATTAATTAACGCACTCGTTATTTATTAGTCATCGCGTAAAATAAAATATCAATTTATGTATGTACATCATAAACATCATTTATTATTAACAAAAAACAAAATGTTAGATCAAAGAAGTCCTGCCAATCACAATAGATTTGTAAAAAAATTGTCACAAATAACGTGACAAGTAGTGATTGGTTAGAACATTGTACTACATAATTATTCTAGTTTTTTGCATACACATGTATGTATATTCTTGTAATTACTATATTTCATTGAAATTCCACCGTTGGTCGCTAAAGAATCGATTAAAAGTTTAAGATTCAGCGCTTCATATAAATAATATATTATAAAGTTAAAATTCCGTGGAAATATCTTCGAGATCAAAATTATTTGTTCTTTTTACGCGCACGTAAGTATCTTTAACGAGCAAGGTGGTCATAGATTGAGGGTACAAAATAGAAATGTTCTCTTCGCGCCATTTTATTACAAACGAACACAAATCGCCAGTGTTTGATGAGCCGTTTTTTCTTATCATAGATAAGAAGTCTGATAGATTTGTTTGCTTGTTGTAAAAATAAGCAAACTTTTCTCGCTTTTGTACCCATCAATATTATGCATTTTCATCGCATATATTTTATAATACAAGAAATTCGATCGCGATCTCCTAGAAAGAATATAATAATTATTGTTGCGGAGAAGCCTAAAATGTCTCTTACCTTCCCCATTTCAGTATCAAATATATTACGCACACTTTGATTGGACTACTTATATTTCAGTTATTATTATTCATTTTTCAATAATACCTAGATGTTCCACTAGCACATGAACTTTAGTAAAGAATTGGCATAAGCCATCGGCCTTACGTTTGGATGAGGCTGTAATGAGATAAAAATAGTAACATAAATATAAAATATGATAAAAGCAAGTAACTAACATAAATTAAAATAATTCAATCTGAATAAAGTACGTACCATTGCATCATATGACGTAAAATAAGGTTTCATGTCACTACCATTAAGTGTGATAAAGGCACCTCGGTTACCCATAGTATCACTACGATTTAATAATAAAACATTAAAGTTTATATACTTATAAACTCATATTAATCCTCAACTACAGCTATGATAACTACACCTAAATTTTAAAACATTCTGTTTGAAATACAGATGCAAGTAAACTTCCGCCTTGCGGTAATTAATAGAGGAAGATACGAAGTTTTTTTTTACCTACAATTTAGAACTTCATAATAATCATACATATCAATCATACATATTGTACAATCGTCCAAAAATTTTCACTTCAGGTTTAAATGACCCGTTGCTGTAGTCGAAGATTAAATACGTAAAATTATATTGTAGACACAGATATAAGATGTTAGTATGTAATTGTTGTATATGATGAACATACCAGTAATTTGGAGCAGAGAATACTGTGATACACTTTCCGTCATGTCCCACTTCGTATCCATCGTTTTTAACTTCGTGACTCCTCACGATGTAGTCAAGGGAATTTATACTGAGGAAATTCTGTGTGACGTCGGGTCCAAATTGAACACCTACGCCTCTCTTGCTGGGCGCCCGGCCCATTTGCGGTTGCGGATCCGACCACAATAGTTCACACATTAATCCTTCATCAGGTGGTTGTCTGTTTCTGTCAATTTCTCTAATTTCTTGCAACGTCACATCATCCCGCGAAAACAATCCACCGTGCATCACCTAGTATAAAATGAATCATTGTAATTGTATGAAAATTATATGCAATATATGTGGGATGACGAATGGGTCCATATGAAAACAGTTGACTTGTAACCATGAGTTAACGAATATTCAGGTTCAAATCTAATCATCGATTAATTTTATTATTTGATCGAAGAATTAAAATTTGTGAGTAAACATAAATATATGTTGTATATAAATACTGTATAGTACATACACAATATATATGCATACAGTATATACACTATAAATATGTATGACAACTTTGAAAAATACTCACAAGCACTCTACGGTTGAGGCAGTGTGCAAGAGGGAGCCAGTTATAAACTTCTGTAAACAATTCTGCCATCTGGACAGAATATTTAGCTTTAACTTCTCCATCAAATCCATACATTTGATTCATTGTTGCTGACTCATGATTACCTAATACAAAATATTTCATAAACATAAATTCAAATTTCATAATGTTGGATGAAAGACTACATACCTCTTGACATAAAAAAGTGATTTGGATATAATAATTTAAAACCAAATAAAGTAAATATGCATTCTACAGAGAATGAACCTCTGTCTACAAAATCTCCATTGAATAACTGCATATGCAACTATTAAGAGAAATATATTTTTGGATAATTTTCGATATTTGTATAATGTCAGTGTATAAATTATTAGCACGTTTATAAGTTATTAATAGGTTTATTATAATAATGAATAAATATATTATATAATAATGAATTAATGATATATGAATTTTTTTTCTCACACATATATAATATTATATTATTAAGTTTTATAAAGGATACATATGGATTAGTTTCTGATGGTAATCCGTTCAACTTAAATATATTAAGCAAGTCATAATATTGACCATGAATGTCCCCACAAATGGTGAATTTATTTTCTTCTGGAATTGTAATGTCTACTAAACTAGGTTGTGCCATAAACCACGATTTAACATCCAACAGGATTTTATAAGCATATTTACGGTGCAACTTATTTTGATTTTTATACCATTCTAATAAATCTTTCATGAATTCTAGAGTAACTTTCCCATCAACCAATTTTGGACCTGTGTATTCACCTTCTATCGCTATAAAAAAAAATAATTCAAGCATATTAGGTCTCTTATTAATTATTAATGTTTAGTCACAATGTGCATTAAAAAAATATTACATAATAAACACTATTTATTTTTTAATTACATAATAAGCATATTTTATTTTGTTTTATAAAAATTATACAAATAGCAAAAAATAATATTACTACAATGAAAGCTTTGAGACTTCTGTTCTTATTACCACTATTTTTTAAGTATGACATCAAAAAAAACATAATCAAAATTTTTGCAAAATATATTTGAAATATTTTTCAATAAACATTTATAATACTTGTAAAATATATCGAAAATGATCTTGTTTCAGAGAGAAATTAAATCATATTTATTTATATATATTATTAATATATTATTCGACAGTTTGTCATGGCTGTAAATAAATTCGTTTCATTTTTTGTTACATGCATAATTTATTTCCAGATATGTATTTCATTAATTATTAATTAATGAAATAAAAAGAAAGTTTTCGGTATATTTATGATTGCAAAGTATATGTCATAATTAATATCAATAAATAAATCATAATTAATACATAATATTTCATAATTAAAATACATATACCAATAAATAAATATACCATGAATCAACAAGTAGGATTCTTCCTGAGAAATCACATTTATGATAAAAATATGATATAATATTTTGTTTTATAACAATAATTTTCAATCATTTTTAGAGAAATAGAAAAAAATGAATAAAAAATATTCACCCATATCTTCTAGATTAATCATGTCAGCTATATTTTTTTTATCCTCAACAGAGATAGCTTTGTTAAAAGCTGACACTTTAATCATCTTGGAACATTCCATGCATCTGTCGTTTGCATCTTTATCATTGGGTCTAGCTTTTACAACAGTCTTATAATCCATGAGAGCCAGTTTAAACTTGCCAAGAGACATATAGGCGGCAGCTCTCCGATAATAACCTTTGACATAATTTTTATCTAACATGATGGCTGTGGAAGCGTCCGTCAACGCATATCCAAAATATTCTGTTCTTAAATAAGCAATACTCCTATTGCCAAAATATATGGCTACTGATGGATTTAATTCTATGGCTTTGGTATATAATTCAATAGCTTTGTCGTATACTTGATCTGAAAAGAAAAAGATGCATAGTGAATAAACAAGGAAGTAATGATTGTTCGTTGTTTTCTCCTTTGACATAATACTCCGGAATTGTTACAATTACATGGCGTCGCTAACTTTTTCCAAGATCACAGAAAGAATGGGAGAGAATCTCCCCCCCAAGTTCCCGGAAGTTCTCACATCGATGGAAACATAGAAAAGCATCAAGATGAAATCAACGCCTCCAGTATGTCGAACAAAAATTCTTTTCTCAAGGCTCTTCTTCGCTCCAATTTAACGCGGAGGCGTTTCAACTCGCGCGGTTCCCATAATCTCCCGCGGACGCGAAAGTTGGGGTTAGCTTGGGGCACACGTGACCGTGCGGGACGGTGAGGTGCGTTAAATGTGAGTGCATCCGGTCTACAATCGTCGCGCTTTCCACGTGCGTTTGGCTTACGTACTTTTGAAGTACTCGTTCGCCTCTTCCTTGTACAATTCCGCCTTGGCCGCGTCCTCCGGTGTCGCCGGCGCGACGTCCCCTCTGCCATTGTCGCCCATCCTCAGCTCCGTGCGTGCGTTCGTACGTGCGTGCTTGCGTGCGGATGGCTGAGTCTTGTTTTGTTTGATGCAACCCAACGGCGGCAAACCGACGGGAGATTGAAGTCACTCAGAGCCACGCGGTCGCAACGTGCGTAACGAGAGATCGCGCATCGAGGTGCAGTCGATCGCGTTCCTCTCTCTCTCTTTCTGAGGAGACAGGAGAGCCTGCTGGAGCGGAGTCTGCGCCTCCCGTCCCGTAATCCGTATCGTACGACCGTACCGCCACCGTAAACGTTGTGAAGTAAACTCCAAGCGGTATCCACCGCACTGATCCGGCTGATCGCTGCTGCCTTCCGATGTCTCGATTAATCGAATCCGTTTCGCTATCGATCCCTGCGCGCGATTAATTTCACCATGTAAACAACGATCTTCGGCGATTTTGTTAATGATTTATTTCTAC